CCAAAAAAGATCGATTAAATATCAGTAATCAGCTCAAACTGGTCCAACTAGAAACTACCGACCAGGCCAGAAATTTAGGTGTAATAATGGACTCAGACCTGAACCTCCAGGGCCACATAAAAGTTATAACAAAGTCAGCCTTCTATCACCTGAGGAACATTTCTAGGATTAAAGGACTTATGACACAAGGAGACCTAGAAAAACTCATGCATGCATTTATCTCTAGCCGCCTTGATTACTGTAACACAGTTTTACCCAAAAAATCAATTAGACAACCGCAGCTGATTCAGAACGCTGCTGCTCGTGTTCTCACTAGAACCAAGAAAATAGAGCACATTACTCTAGTTTTAAAGTCATTACACTGGCTCCCTGTAGCTCAGAGAATAGACTTTAAAGTGCTTTTATTAGTTTATAAATCCTTGAATGGGTTAGCACCAGAGTGCATTAGGATTCTGCTATCATGGTACAAACCATCCAGATCAGTTAGGTCCTCCAGCTCTCCTCTATCAACCGTCCCTAGAACCAGAACTAAACATGGAGAAGCAGCTTTTAGTTTCTATGCTCCTCACATCTGGAATACACTATCAGGAGAATGCAAAGCTGCAGAGACACTGAACTCTTTTAAGTCTAAAATTTAGACTTGCTTATGAGTAACTGATCCTATTATGGCTTTCTATTTGCAAATGCTTTCTTGTAAATGTTTTCTTGTATTTTACTTTTATAGTGTTTTGTTTTATCTTTTGTGTTTTATTTTAATCATGTAAAGCACCTTGAATTGCCTTGTGCTGAAAGTGTGCTATACAAATAAAATTGCCTTACCTTGCCTTGCCTTCCCTTAAGATAGGAAAAAAGTAGTAAACATGATTTAAATTCCTATATTATAGACTGAATTATGGATCAACTTGTTTAATGAGTCTCCAGATGTGACACAGACTGTGGACAGAGAGATCACTGACAGCAGTAATACCTCAGATATATTCCATCAGGGCCAAATTAGCAGCACAGAGTGAGTGTGGATCGGCCCTGATCTCAGTACTGCTGAAATTAACATCCAGGTTAAAGATGACATGAAAATTTGGGGTCTCTGGATCAATGGGGAAATACTGCTGTGAGTCAAACAGGTCCAAGAAGGAAAGTGAAGGGAAAGACGAAGTCTGGAGATGAGCGAACAAAAACCCTGATTGCGAAGCTGGTGTGAAGATTGTTCAAAGTCACACTGTGTCCAGACTACATTCTTATCAGCTGTTTCATGTGTTTGAGTGAATCTGTGACTGAACTGTAATAGTGTTCAAAAGTAAATGTGAGGAGGAAATAAATGAAAACAAAGTGTGATTAATGATGAAGAATGAGAAGAAGCTGAGACTCAGCTCTCATGCTGCTAATGTTTCTCAGGACCTGTTGTACATGTTGCATTTACAGTAAAGAAACTGGAAATCAGTGTGGAGGTGAGCCAGGGGATTTCTGAGGATCAGCAGTAATCTCATGCAGCATAAACTCAACCATGTTTTAATATGTGTTGATATAGATGTGACTGGATCATATTCTGACTTTAGATATCCAAATATGGCTGACTTTAAACACCAGGATTATCTTGCCGATTAAAGTCCTTTAAGATGGCGCAGGTGAGGTCGGCTACCGTGCTGGATGCTCTGCCCCAACTTTTTCACTTTTTTTCTTTTTTCATCACTTTTTGCTATATCTGCCATAATTTTGCATGGGCATCATGCAAAACACACAAATTCGCTACGGTAGAGACACCCTGGTTTCTATTGGTCTACAATACACAAACATTTCACCATGGAGATCCTGAGAGAGAACAAAGGATGCAACCCTAAGCGACGGCCTCGAGGGAAACGAGCCGGCATCAGGAACAGGCTACGGGCTCACGCACACCGCGCACCCATGCCCAGTATCCTGCTAGCCAATGTTCAATCCATCGAGAACAAGCTTGATGACCTCAGAGCCAGAATTAAGTTCCAGAGAGACATTCGGGACTGCAACCTCCTCTGCTTCACCGAGACTTGGCTGAACCCTGCAATACCAGACCACGCTGTGCAGCCGGCGGGGTTCTTTTCTGTTTACCACATGGACAGGACAATGGAGTCGGGGAAGAAAAGAGGTGGTGGAGTGTGTTTGATGGTGAACAACAGATGGTGCGACAGCACAAACATCTCCCCACTCACACGCTCTTGCTCGCCCAATCTGGAACTTTTGATCGTTAAATGTCGCCCTTTCTATCTCCCTCGGGGGTTCACTGCGGTCATTGCCGGCACTGTTTACATTCCGCCTCACGCGGACTCGGACACTGCCTTATGTGAGCTGCACGAGGTTTTCACACATCAACAAACACTTCAACAAGATGCCGCACTCATTGTTATGGGAGATTTTAACAGACTAAATCTCAAACCAAACGGACATTTCACAACCTTCACCAGCACATCAACTGCCCCACCCGGGGCACTAGGACATTAGACCACTGCACCCCATTCAAGAACTGTTACAAGGCTCAGCCCCTGCCAGCATTTGGAAAATCTGACCATGCCGCCATCTTCCTCATGCCTGCTTACAAACAAAGGCTAAAGCAGCAACCACCAATCAGGAGGGGGGTCGCTCGCTGGACGGACCAATCAGTGGCCGCGCTGCAGGACGCACTGGATGACGCACTGGATGACGCACTGGATGACGCAGACTGGGACATGTTTCGGCGCAGCTCTGATGACATCAACATGTTTACAGAAGCGGTTATGGGATTTATCGGGAAACCACCAGACAGATCTATCATCAGAACTTTTCTCATCCAGAAGCCGTGGGTGGTTAAAAACATCCGCGACACTCTGAGATCATGCACCGCTGCCTACAATGAAGGGCTCATCTCCGGTAATATGGACCTATACAAGGCTGAGTCTTACAACGTGTGCAGTGCAGTCAGAAAGGCAAAGCGGAGCTACGGGTAAAAACTAGAGTCACAGCTACGACAGTGCAACTCTAGGAGCCTGTGGAAAGGACTGCGGACAATAACGGACTATAAACGACCAGCTTCTTCAATGATGAATGCAGATGCTTCACTGGCTGATGAGCTGAACACGTTTTACGCTTGCTTCGACGCCGCAGCAATTAAAACTACAAACAGCTGCACGCGCTCGGAGTGCACCAGTGAAGAAAATGCATTCATCATCACAGAGCATGCCGTGAGGAACACCTTCAGGAGGGTGAACACCAGGAAGGCAGCAGGACCTGATGCAATCCCTGGCCGGGTCCTTAGAGCCTGCGCTGATCAGCTAGCACCGGTGTTCACGGAGATCTTCAACCTCTCCCTGGCTCAAGCAGTGGTTCCCACGTGCTTCAAACAGTCCATCATTGTCCCTGTTCCAAAGAAACAACAGCCCGCTTGCCACAATGACTACCGTCCAGTAGCACTGACTTCAATTGTAATGAAGTGTTTTGAAAGACTGATGAGAGATCACATCACTTCTTCACTTCCTGCCACCATCGACTCACTTCAGTTTGCTTACCAGACTAATCGTTCCACAGACGATGCCATATCTCACCTGCTCCACACATCCCTGAGTCACCTGGACACTGGCATAGGGAAATATGTTAGGATGCTGTTCGTGGACTACAGTTCAGCATTCAACACAATAATTCCCTCTAAGCTTTTCACCAAGTTGACGGATCTAGGACTCAGCTCATCACTGTGTCAGTGGATCCTCACCTTCCTCACAGACAGACCCCAATCAGTGAGGGTGGGGAAACAAGTCTCCCCCTCCATCTCACTCAGCACTGGAGTGCCTCAGGGCTGTGTTTTAAGTAACTGTGTTCTAGTAACATTGTGAGGAACCTTGGAGTCATCTTTATACAGGATATGTCCTTCAATGCACATATTAAACACATATGTAAGACTGCTTTCTTCCATTTGCACAATATCTCTGAAATTCAAAATATCCTGTCTCAGAGTGACATAGTGATGCACAAATCATGAATGAATCATTCACTGCTCGAGAATCACTTTACTGAATCGTGAATCATGATTGATAAGCCCAACTGACTCACTGACTCATCCCTGTTGCTGTTAGCAAACTAATTCCATTAGTAGAAATATATCTACCTTATAATTAAAATTGTGGGGAAAAAACCAACACAGTTTCTTAAGAAAAACATTTCTGCCCTGAACTGGAAGAAAAAACCCTGAGTAGAAGCTCACATCAAGACAATAGCTGCTTTCTCTGCTAACATGCTAACAGCACATTTTAGCTAGTCACCCCCTCCCTCCTGTGCTGAATCATAGCATAAACGAATCACTTATTATTACTTATTTTTCCTAGAGTAAAAGTAGAATGGGAGGTAGAGCGTCCAGTTTTCAGAGCTCTCATCTATTGAATCAGCTTCCAGTTTGATACAGGAGACGGACATTATATCTACTTTTAAGATTAGGCACTTTGCAAAAGCATTTAAGTTAGGGTTGGATCAGGTGACACTGAATCTTCCCTTAGTTATGCTGCAGTAGGTGTGGGCTGCTGGGAGATTCCCATGATGCGCTGTTTCGTCTTCAGTCACCTTTCTCTCTCACAATTTGTTAATAGACCTCTCTGCAGGGAATCATACTTGTTATTATTTCTGTGGCTCTCTTCCACCACATGTCTTTTGTCCTGTCTTCCTTCTTTTACACCAGCTGGTCACGGTAGATGGCCGCCCCTCTCTGAGCCTGGTTCTGCTGGAGATTTCTAGCTGTTAAAAGGGAGTTTTTCCTTCTTGCTGGCATCAAAGTACTTGCTCATAGGGGGTCATACGACTGTTTTTCTGTTTATGTATTATTTTAGGGTCTACCTTACAATATAAAGTGTTTTAAGCTGACTGTTTTTGTGATTTGGCACTTAATATGATTGAATAAACTGAATTATGAAGCACTGAATGATTCCAAGCACTTTTTCTAATTAACTTACAACCTTCATTCTTTATACAGATTGGGGAGTTGTGGTTTGTCAGAGATCAGCTGTGATTATCTGGCAGCAGCACTGAAGTCCAACCCCTCCCATCTGAGAGAGCTGGACCTGAGTAACAACAGCCTGCAAGATTCAGGAGTGGAACAGCTTTGTGGTTTTCTGGAGAGTCCAGGATGTGGACTTGAAACTCTGAGGTCAGTCTCCATGTTTTAGTTGTGGTGAGATGAATATGATGTGAAAGTTGTGCTGACACTGAACTGCAGACATAAGGCTGATATTATACTGATTCACACTGAGGATCTTCATGGTAAAGACTTCTCTGGTTTAGTCCATTGACTATAGCAGAAAAATGTTCACATTACAACCCTTAAAAGAAGAAGAAAAATCTTCCACTGGATAATCAGCTGTAAAACTCTACTACTCTCCATTCCACCTTAATATTTGGTGGAATGGCACTGACACTGAAATAAAAACCAAAATGGCCATTTGCTTTACAAACAGCACTCCAACATAAAACATACACACATCATACAAAACACAGTCCAACATCCAAATCTCCAACACTGCCAGCATGAATCATGGGAAAAGGAAAGGAGTAACACTCTGATATTCAGGGTTAGAATGACTTTCATAAACCAAACTGTGAAGATCAAAGCTGCATTCGATAGCTTACATGAATGAATGAGTGGACAAAAGTGGACAGAGATCATTTTCCCAACCTAAAACCTTCTTTTTTCTTTCTTTGAAATTCCTAGGTGTTATGGTCCTGGGTCGGTGACCCAGTGTTTTTGTTTTTTGTACTTTTACTTTTGATTTCATCATGGATTGTGACTATTGTGTTTTGGTTTCTTTCCTAGTGTTTCTAGCTCCCTAGTTTTGTGGTACTTCCTGAGTTCAGATTTTTAGGTTTTGTTATTTGATTTCCGAGTGTAAATTCTGTGCTCCCTCTGTTCTGTGTCTTCCTTGCCTGTGTATCCTTTCTAGTGTGGTCAGGTCTTTGTGTAAAGCCCGCGTCTCTGAGTCTGCGTCTTCACGTATGTTTTGAGTTTCCTGTTTTATTGTGAAAGTCTGTGTCTTATGTCAAGGTGTTCACTTTGCGTTTCCTCTGTCTCATCTTGTCAATCAGAATCAGCTGTGCCTCCCTCCTTTGTGTCATTTCCTCGTTCCCATCAGTGTATTTATAGTGTGTGTTCTCTCATGTTTGTCACTAGTCCGTCTGTGTTTCTTCCCTGCGCTTTCTACCGGAGTCTTCCGTTCAGGTTAGTTTTGTTAGTCATTCCAAGTTTAGGTCACCTTTTAGGTTTTGTTTTACTTGCTGTGTTTCTGTTTGTGCCACCAGAGTGTAAATAAAGCTCGCTCACATCCAAGCCAGCGTCTGGTTCCCCTCTCACACTCACCACACATCTGCCACCATCACATTCATCTTTTGTCCTTGTTCTGCATCCCCATCATGGACTTCATGCCTTTCCAAGCCAGCCTCGAGTGTCCTTTAATCAGCTCCTCCGCTGCTTACTTTATTTCTCTTTGAACAAGTTTATATGTCTCAGTCTTTTTCTTATCTCCCTCATAACAAGAAAGCTTCTTCTGGCTGAGAACATGTTTGAGTGCTTTACTAGTCACTGGGGAAAATTGTTCCTGTTTTCAAAGTAATCCTCATTTTTCCCGTGTGCTCAGTTTGAGCTCTCTTCAGTACTGTGATCTGATAGATCCAGAGGGCCATCACATTTAAAAGCTCCACTAACGGAGCCACAACACATCCAATACTTAGTTTGTCATGTTGAACAAACTGGAAGAAATGATTCAAGGACTTAGTCACAGAACAGAGATTAAGATCTCCAAAATAAAACTGGCTGCATCAGGGCATGTAGTTAGTCTGAAAATTCTGCAGAGTTTCCTATTTGAACCGACTTCATGTTGGATTCAGCTCTTTTGAGTTTCCATTTCCTAAACTTCTACATTCTGAACCTTCTCAGCTCTGAATAGATTATGAAACACTGAACGGTTTCAAGCACACACTTGTCTAATAAACGTATAGCTTTAATTCTTTATACAGATTGTGGCGCTGTGGTTTGTCAGAGATCAGCTGTGATTATCTGGCAGCATCGCTGAAGTCCAACCCCTCCTATCTGAGAGAGCTGGACCTGAGTAACAACAACATGCAGGATTCAGGAGTGAAGAAGCTGTGTGGTTTTCTGGAGAGTCTAGGATGTGGACTTGGAACTCTGAGGTCAGTCACCATGTTTTAGTTGTTCTGAGATGAATATGACGTAAAAGTTTTGCTGACTGCAGACATAAGGCTGATATTATATTGATTCACAATGAGGATCTTCTGTTCTGCTTTCTACTTCTTTGGGTTAGTCCATTGACTGTAGCAGAAGAATGTTCACATTCCAAGCAGTGATACTCAACGTATGGCTCGCGGCCCTCCACAAGGTCCCAACTGGGCTACCGAGCTTTCCTAATTCAGATTAACTGGGTACTGTTCTTCCTCACAGTTCTAAGTATCAGACACAACAATGAATATTCCGAAGTTTACTTTCTTAAGCAGGTCAAAAGTCATGGCACACAACAATTTAGAATAGAATAAATAATAGAATAAAATTAGGTATTGCACCGTGGTGGTGGGGGTGTTGTGTAGTCTGTTAATGGAGTGCATGTGAGAGTTCAGAGTGGTTGTGGCTTTTGGGAAGAAACTATTTTTGAATCTGTTTATGTGCTCATGCATCTGTAGCCAGGTTGAACAGGTCAGAACCAGGTTGGGAGCTATCCTAGATGATGTTTATAGCTCTGCTGAGGAAGTGGGAGGAATAGATGTCCAACAGGGAGGAGAGAGAACAGCCAATGATCTTCTGTGGTGTCTTGACTACTCTGTAAAGCCTCTCCCTGTCTGCCTTGATGCGCTTCCTGAGGACTCTCAGCCAACTTTACAACTTTTAAAAGCGAAGCTATGTGATTCCTTGAATAAAAAAACACTTCTTTTTTTAAAGTTTTTATGATAAATGCACAACTTGAATGTGAAAAATTACGAGTTTTTTCTCATGATGTGTTTATTTGAAGCTGCTTCCTGTTGGCTTCAGCTGTTTGCAATTTCCATTTTCTAAGCTTCTACATTCTGAGCGTTCTTCAGCTCTGAACAGATTATGAAACATTGAATCATTCCAAGAACGCACATTGTCTAATAAACGTACATTTTTCATTCTTTATACAGATTGAAGGACTGTGGTTTGTCAGAGATCAGCTGTGATTATCTGGTAGCAGCGCTGAAGTCCAACCCTTCCCATCTGAGAGAGCTGGACATGAGTGGAAACTGCAACCTGCAGGAACCAGATGTGAAGCAGCTGTGTGAGCTTAAGGAGAGTCCAGACTGCAGACTGGAGGTGCTGTGGTCAGTAGAGTGTTGGATTGAGTTTGTGGTGCTTCTGCAGTATTGTACTAAACACAGTCAGCATGAAACAAAGATCCAGTGTTTCCTGTAAAGCTGCAGCTTCTCAGTGAAGCTGTGAGAGGAGAATGGTGACAAGCTTCAGGATTGGACACAAACACTTCCTGTTTCTGCCTGACCTTCCTACCTCTGTGGTCACTTTATAGTAACGGCTCACATGCTCTGATCAAACACTGTCAACAGCCAATCAGCTCTCTGAACAAAGCAGCATGCAGACCAATGACTGCATTCATTTCCAAGTTTAAAGCAGTGAAGAACACAATCTGTAGGTGAGGAAGAATTTAGTTAGACCAGTTGTTTGGACGGAATTCCTTCAGTGAATAGCAGGAACCATTACATCTGGATTGTTGGGGTTGTTTTGGGGGTTTCCTAAAGAGCTCAGAGTGGACAGACCGAGGTTATTCTAATGAATGAAAGTCCAAACTAAGACTAGGAGTGAAAAACCTTTTCATGAACTTAAACACTTGTTTATATCCTCTGCTCTTCCTTCTTCTCTCTGCAGGTGGAGGTCATGGTAAACAGGATGGTGTGTGTGCTGAGAGAGGATGAGCTGTGTCCTGGTGATCCATTGAGGTTGAAGCAGCAGTGTAGAGACGCTCTGACTGGGCCATGTTACTGTGAGGTGGAGAGGAGAGGAAAGCTTCATCCAGCAGTGACTAACAGAGGAATGTAAAGAAGTGCAGATGACTGCCAGTGCTGCAGACTGATGTGTGTATCTTTTTTGTGGTGAATTTCTGCAAAGTGGTTGGCTCGCCGTCTGTCACGACCATAATCTCATCCAAAATTTTCTGAAATATTTTGACCCTTACGAGCTTCAGCAACGAAGCAAAAATCACCTAATTCAACGCACGTATGTAAGTCCTGGACCAAATTCCATGCGGCACGTTGACTCCTATAACAAACTGAAGCCTTTTGGAATCTGTATAAATGGCTTTTTGAGAGTTTTGATTTGGCTTCATGCCTATTCAACAAACAGTGATGCCAAAATCAATACACATGCACAAAAAGACGTTGACCGGTGTTACAAAATAAACCTTTAGTGGACCAAAATTGGAAGTCCAAAATGAACGTTTAAAAGATGTTACTCCGACGTGACTTTGCGCAGTGTGAGTGACATGTAAACATAACGATGTATCAATTGCAGAGCACTCATATGAGGTCCAATGTCACATACACACTCCTAACTAACAAAGCTCTATGAGACTGATTTAAGACTTATGCTGCCGCCCGTTATAACCGGGTGTCAGCTCGTCAAAATTTTCCAAACTACTGATGTTTTTTGCCTTTTTGGTGGCTCCATAATGTGCCTCCAACGGCCATGCACGCTTGTGAAGTTCCTAAAATCACCTCCGATCTAGATCTTTGTCTTTTCAACAGCTCAAATCACATAATGAGGCAGTGACATCATTTCAAAGAAACAAGGCCTCATTTGTCTTTGGTCTATGGGTCTCTTTGGGCCTCAACACAGGCTTCATTTGGACACGCCCCCTGTGCTAAACACAGAAGATACATTTCATCATTACATTAATGCCACATGGAAAGCATTAGCTGCAGTTAATATAATATACTATAATGTATGTACTTTGTACCTGTAAATCCAGGTAGTTGTGGTATTGCATGTGTTGGATGTACATTTTCTTTAACTGGCTTGGAACCAGCTGTAAAAATGCA